GGGATGGTATCTTGCTCTCTAGAGCCCCATCCGTCAGAGGACCCCAACGTGATTTCTGGACAGGGAGTAACCTGCACAATTCCCCACGTAAGGAGAATAAATATTATCCTTGTGTTACAGATGCGGAAACTGAGGCACGGAGGGGAATTGGCCAAGTCAGTGGCACAGCATGACACAGAACCCAGGAGTCCTGACCCCCAGTTCCCTGTTCTAACCACCAGACCCGCTCCCCTCCCAGATCTGGGAACAGAAGCCAGAAGGCCTGACTGCCAGCCCCCCTGCTCTAACCACCAGACCTCAGTCCCCTCCCAGAGTTGAGAAGAGAACCCACGCATCATCTCTCCTAGTCCTCTGCCCTAACCACCTAGGGCTGGGAACAGAACTCAGGTCCCCTGCTCTGACCATTAGACCACACTCTCTTCTCAAAGCTGCTGCCTTCACGTGATACACGTTCCGCTGCTGAAATATAAAGTAGGCACAGAGAAGACTCACAATCCCCTGCTCTGAAACCATTCCCACTACACTCGGCGCCTGGCCCACCAGGAAATGATCAGCTTAAGGATTCAGGGCCAGATCTTCAGCTGGGGTAAATCAGCACCGTACCATGGACGTCCACAAAGCTATGCTAACTGACACCCACTGGGCGAATGGCCCTTACAGAGGAACAGAGCAGAAAAGCCTGCTGCGGGCAGATGTCCAGCAGATGGTGGCGCTACCCTGCAACAAAGACCTTGCCAAGGCAGTGCCTGGCTCTCGTACCATCCCCCGACGCCATGGTGAACCCTCGACCCACGCTGGCAGGGAACGCATAGGTATTACCTGTTTCTTCGGCAGCAGCTGTTATAAGGAGAGGCTTTCAGCAAAGCATTCTGGGCAATCTTCCTGGTCTGAGCCAGCAAGGGTGCAGGGCACGCAAGATCCTAAGGAAAACACAGACAAGCTCAGCACAGCCAGCCAGGTAAAGGTCATGGGAGGGGCTCCCATAGGGCGCACGTGCCAACCTGCGTGCCCGCCTCCTCTGCCCGCAGGAACTCCTGCTGCCGCCGCTTCTGCACCTCATTCTCGCGCGACCGCTTCTTTCCGTAGAACGTCTGCAGGCCTGGGACACAGACAGAGACAGACACAGGTAATCCAGGCAGTGAGACTCTCGCCAAGCAGTCTGCCACCCAGCCGAGGTTACATTGCCAAAGGGCTGCCGGGTTGGGGTGGCACGGACTGCCACTTCCCGCTGTGTCTCAGGAGGATGGATGGATGGCTTTGAGCAATCCAAGCAGTGTGAAGGTCCAAACCTCTCTGGGTCATCTCAGTCTGTCCTTCTCCCAAGGCAGACAGACAGCTCCAGGCAGCTCACCCCTGAAAGGCACCTCTCTAAATGGCATCATGGGGCTCATGTCTATTGTCTAACGCTCCAGAGCGTAGGTTCTGGAGGGGATCAAGCCGGGCTTCAGCTGATCTCTAACTATTAGACACCAGGAAGAGACCTATGTGAGAGGCAGATTATCCCACATCTGCTACTCACACCTGCCTCTGAAGCACCTGGTGCTGGCCACTGTCAGACTGAGGATACTGGCTGAGAAGGACCTTGGGTCTGATCCAGCCTGGCAGTTCTGTCGGTGATAAGACAGTTCTTCTACCTCCCAGCACCACCAACTGCCCCTGAGCTTTGGGAGTGAAGCTGGACTCTTCTTTCCTCCTGCACCATCTCCACTACCCAGGGTCTGCAGCTCCTTAGGGCTGACTTACTAGCGATGTGTTTCTTGCCGGCCCTATGGACCGTCAGCATGTCAAGCGTGTCGAAGACCGGACGGTGGAAACATACTGTGCAGGCGTATCTGAGAGAGAGAGGAAAGACAGTCATATCAAGCCAGGAGCATCTCCCCCTCACGCACACCTACGAGGACAGATGGGCCCCCCCAGCCCTTCTTATCAGCGCAGTTGGTAACACTGGGCTGGAAGAGACACTAGTTACATCCACTAGAATAAATGACCATGATTCTCAGATTCACCCAGCGCAGTAGGACCTCTATGAATCTAACTGGCCGAGGCTCTCAAAGGACAGGCAGCTAGGTTAAGTGTTACTATCCACATCTTACCTATAGGGAAACGGAGTGATTTGCCCAGTGAGTCAATGACAGAACTGGGAAGAGAACCCCGGTGTCCTGACTCCCACTCCAATGCTCTGGATGCTGGACCACATACCCTCTGTTTTGTTTTCCCCAGTTTGCAGTTGAGGAAACAGGTCAGGACAACGTAAGTGACAACCAAGGAGAGTCAAGAACTGAACCCAAAATTCCTGGCTCCATGGCCGCTGGACCGTGCTCATTCTCTGACAAACATCCGAAAGTCTGAATGCCGAGCCAACCGGTCTGAGTGTGTAATATTAGCCAGAGGCTCTCTTGGGGGCGTGTGGCTCTTTTACATCTGAAGGGAAGGGGGAACTGCAAAGCCAAAATGAAAACTAAACTAAAAATACCCAGATCAGCCTCAATATACAGCCCAGATTCCAGCTTTTGGTGGTGTTTGAAATCCAAACCTGGATCTGGGTCTAACTTTTACATTTTACATAACTCCCTATTTTTATAATGGGCCTGAGCAAAACATTCCTGACTCTCTCGCCAAGCAGTCTGCCTGACTGCTGGGGCCTTGGAAATCCAGATCTTAATTTAATAACAAATAACAACCCCTAGCTAGCTCTTATCTAGGGCTTTTCATCAGTAGAGCTTGATAAAGGAAGAGCAGTATTGTTATCCCCATTTTACAGATGGGGAAACTGAGGCACAGAGTGACGAAGGGATTTTCCCAAGGACACCTAGCAGGCCTGTAGCAGATCAGGGAAGAGAAACCAAGTGTCCTGATTCCCACTCCAGTACTCTGTGCATTAGGCCACACTGCCAATCTTGCAGCTTCAGTCCCCAGAATAAATAAATACACTAATTAATGAATTGAACTGATTCAAAGGGTCATAGTTCAATGTGGGCTTTAGGCTGAGGTTGGATTTTATTTGACCCGATCCTTATGGCATACGGTCTTCTCAGAACCACGTCGCTTGCTGTCAAATGGATCTAACGCACCTGCCGTTCCTTAGCAGCAGCGCCTCGTCCTCCGGGATATAGTTTGCCAGAAGATCTGCAACTCTTCTTTTCTGAATAAATGACCAGGCCACGTTACAGAGGAATCAATCTCTCTGGTGTAGGCAGCAGAGCAACTGGCATCAGTGTGGCCATAGATGAATAATAATAACAATCTCTAGCTCTTATCTAGCGCTTTTCATCCGTGGGTCTCTGAGCGCTTTACAAAGGAGGCTGGTAACATTATCATCATTTTACAGATGTGGAAACTGAGGCACAGAGCAGGGCAGGGACTTGCCCAAGGTCATCCAGCACTGCAGGCCAGTGGCAGTGCTGGGAATAGAGCCCAGAGCAGCAAGGATGAGGAGCGGGGGGGGACAGGAGCCAGAGGCCGAGAAGTGTCGGGGTGGTTGGAGAGTGACAGCACCAGAGGCCGAGGGGTATTGGGGGGGATCACCCTGGGGATGGGAGAGTGGCAGAGGGTGTGTGTTGGGGGGAGCAGGGCAGTGACTCGGGGGTTGAGAGGGAAGCTTGGGGACTGCTCTGGGGCTGGGGGGCAGTGGGAGGGTTGGAGGCGCCAGGGGGCGGGGAGTTGAGGGGATTGCTCTGGGGATGGGGGTTTGGGGAGAGCTGGGGAGGGGTCACAGGAGCTGGGAGGATTGGGGGGGATCGACTCTGGGGATGTGGGGAGCAGGGGGGCTGTGGGGGGACTGAGAAGGAGTCGGGGGGTCACTCTGGGGATGGAGGGCAAGGGGGAGTCGGGCAGGATCGCTCTGGGGATGGGG